GTCAGCATTTTCATATATTTACTCATTGGTCCAGGGAAATAGGGGGGAGGGGTCACCTCCTGTTTTTCTCAGCGTTCTCACGTCAGCATAGCGTTTTGTAACCACACCGACCTTCCACCTTCCTATAGTAAGTGGCTCTGTCATCCCGGTTTCCTCTTCCTTTAGCTAAAACTCATCTCCCGGCTCGCGACATGTTTTGCGCACCTCTCGATATCCTGGCAGCCACAGTCCTTAGTTTCCGTCCGCTCTGGCTTCCACTCCAAGACCCTTTTCAGTCGTCACGTAACCTCCTTGATTAGAGCTCAGCAGGGAATTTCACACTACCTACGAATGCGGATATTGGCCGTTAGGACCACAAACATGGACTGTAGATCATTCTCAGGTTCTCAAAGGCTACAACTATTTCAAACTATTGCCAGAATGAAGGAATTCCGAAAAAGTATCTGCGCAGCTAAGCAGTAAGATGAGGTGTTGTGCCTTAGACGTGCATTGATAATTTTACAGAGTCAGATTTTGAATAAATACGAATGTAGTGGTACTCCTAAAAGTTATCTCATGCGATATGTCCAGGGCATGCTTTTCGCGGCGAGAAGATCGCTTTGTTCTACGAGTTTAATCATGGACTTTACCCTTATTATAAAAATTACACGCTAGACCAGCCTATCAATGGAGGATCGCCTCAGGTACGGTGTATAGAAATAGAATGCCTACGATCTTTGCAGAGCTCTCATTTTTCAGAACCTCAGCGAAGAAGGATATTGAAAAGCACCTCGAGGTTTCAAGACATAATATCTCTACGCACATAAAAGATGAGTCTTCCTGCGGTCTTGGAATAATAGACTTCGAGGAATGGCGTCCCTTGTACAAACTGAACAGTATGAAAAAAGTGGTGGGCCACTTCGGAACGTTGTGTGAATTTTTGTTCCATCAAGACATGCAAGTGTACTGAAAAAAGGGAAACGCTACATCTCCTTTGTTGCCCAAAACAGTCTTTGTCAGATGTGCTTTCCCTGCGGGATTCATCGCATTTTTGTTGAATCAACGGTGGGAGCCTTTCTTATTCTTTTAGTGGTAAACCTCTTCCGTGTACAGCTAGAGTAAGGCGACGTTGGGACTCCGCGGCGCAGCGCTTCAGTCGTTCAACGCGATCAATGCCGCATTCTTTCGACTGCGTCGATTGAAGAAAGGGGAAACCATGCGCAACTAGGTACGCGAATAGTAGCGTCAAACTCGCGACTGAAGCACTGCCCCACGAGGTCTGAGTGCTGTCTAAGAGGTAACAACAACGTCATAAGTGGATTCACTATGAGGTTCCTGTTGTGCAGTAGGAGGAGAGGGAGTGCTCCAGCATTCAGTGGAATTGCTAGTATGATTCGCATGGCACTTTGGAAGGGCAACAGTCACTCATCCGGCATTTTAGATTTTCTTCGCAATTGAAGGCGAGCACATCGAAATTCCGGGTGGCTATCCAAATTAATCCACCACGGTCTTTGGCTTGGGAGGAAGGCTTTTGTGCCCTCATTCAGAAGGCAAGATGCGAAGGATGCAATACGCCCTTTTGACGCACTACTCATGCACTTATTCACACATGCTTCGCTCTTTTTAGGCCAGCGCTACATGGAGGCCCTTTTCAGGCCGCTATCCCTGGAGAAAGGGCCATTTGAAGCAGATGGTGCAAGGATCTCCAGATTAAGTGAGCCGCTTGCGAAAAGTTAGAATTATATTTCAGAGAGCATACGGCCGCCGGCCGAGCTCGGTGCTTTTGGGCAATCCCCGCCTCTTGCTCGCAGTCATTACACCTTCAGCGGAAAGGATGTTGGGTGCCAAGTAATACTGAGAAGCTCATGTCAGCCAAGACTGTCATAATGAGTGCACATTTCCATCGAGGTCCCTGTCAACCGCG